CCCCAAAACCCCAAAACCCCAAAACCCCAAAACCCCAAAACCCCTTATTATTAATAAATTATTGAACTTACATCTCAATAACTTTTGACTTAAGTGTGATCTTCAACTTCATAGTACCATTAAAAGGTTCATATTCTTCTTGTTCTGCTTTGGAAAGTGATCAATTTGCATTATCTGATCACCCATAGAAGTCCATGTCTCACTGCTCTATTTAAAATAAATATTTCAAGCTTATAGACTAGCTTTTCAACGAAAAAGTACCTGATAAATCACTGTTGAGTTGTATCATCTTATTCTTAGGTTCCTTCCTGGGTGAATTCTTGCTTGACCCAATTGAAGATTCTTTAACAAGTTCTGATTTCCTAAATCCCTTACGAAAAGCTTCTAGATATTATTAGATCCTATTTACTGACATGTCCCTCCTTTGCATTCAAAGGGCTCTGGATGATAGGAGTATTTTTACATGTCTAAAATATCATTCAGCATATACATTTCGTTTTGCTGAAGGATCTCAGAACTTCAACTTGTCTTTTAAGGAACTACCTCTACTACTTAGCAATGGCTTTGTCATTAGCTTAGGTTTAGCCACATCTCTGGATACTTTATGATCATAATCCATCATATGTAAATTCGTGGCAATATTTTCCTTCTTGCTCTCTTCAAGACTTTTCTGAATCTCTTCTGCTTTATTTACCTTCTGCCTATAGACAAGTTAAATTTTGGAGTAAATCCCTCTATTGAATGATCAATATTTAACCAAGCATGAGTCAATGTAGTAAGTGATCTACAGATAGCATATTCATGAGGCCAAGAGTATGACTTGGGATCATATTCTAGATCCTTGCCATAAGACTCCGAGCAATTAGCCAAACTTACTTGTTATTTAGGCACCATAAATTTAAATTTTTCAAATAAGAAGAAATCCCTTTTATCTTTTTCCTGTTGAAGTTCTTCCCTCGCCTTATTAATGTTCTTGGAGACGACTTTCAGATGTTTATAATCCTCTTTAAACTTTTGGCAAGGCCTGCTAGTCTGAGGCCTCTGCCTTTTGAGACCATTATGATTAATTCTTGCAGGACTTGTAGATGTTTTATTCATGCCTTCTTCAGGAATATTACTGTGGAGTTGATAATAATCTGAAAGAAAAGTTCTCAATGCTTCAAAATTCTCTTGAGGCTGGCACTCCTTGTTGTCTTTCTTGGTGTTATTCTTCACTCTTTTCTTTACCCCTAGAATTTAGATGAAGCCAAATTTACCTGCACTTTGGATTCTCAAAGTTGTTGCACTCTTGACTTTGCTGAGAGGCAGGGTTTTAAAGTATTCATTAGGTTTTAGGGCTGGAATATTTTGCTTCACCTGCCTTCTTTTTCTCTTTTTACTATTACTAAGAGTCTTCTTATCAGGCTGAGAATAAGCCTGATCGTTCAGATTTATTGAGTTGAGAACCTGCTCTCTTTGGGTATACTCAGGATTATAAGTGCCTAAGAGAACATCATTTTGTGGTTATTAGAGTTCAGCCTAGCAGTTATAGGTCTATAGATCAACCCTTCACACTTACCTGGTATGTTTATAACACTTCTCATTGGAATAATACTTCAGAGGGAACATTGACTTCTTCTGTGTGTTCATTTTATATAACTGAGCTGCTACCTTTTTATATCTTTCAGCCTTCAATGCCTTAGACTGAGTCCTCTGACGGGCTGCTGTAAGAGGTCTTTTACTAATTCATGATGAAATCTCTTCCTTATCAGCAGTATTTTTAATGGATTCCATCTGAGAGACTTGGTTTTCTTCCATATTTCTCATATAAGTATCCTGAGAATCCTGACAATTATTAGTTTTCTTTTTGTTGTTCGACAAACCAAATAAAATCTTTTCTAAGAAACTCTCATTGTTCTCAGGCTGAAAGGCTCGCTTAAATACAGTTTTGGGTCTCTTCCTTTTCCTAGTTTCAGACAGTTTGTGCTGAAGAGGTTGACTTATTTTATTAGTATCATCTTTTGCTAAATTTCCTTTGATATACTCATTTGTAAGACAAAATTGAGAATCTTGATTGGTCTTTTTATCATGCTCATTCTCGTCATGTTTTACTAATCTACACCCAAGTTAGTTTACGAATAGAGAGCTTACCTGACACCGAGATATCCATAATTCCTCGCTTGGGTGGGATGGTGATTCTTTTGCATCATCTTTGGCATCTGCTTTTTCTTCTTTAGAGACATATGGAGCTTCATATTTTGCTTTTAAAATTCAATTTATGAAATACAACTGGGGTTTTGGGGTTTTGGGGTTTTGGGGTTTTGGGG